CGAAGGTTTCTTGCTTCTTCTCCAAAATCAGGATAATCATTACCAATTTTCGACCACTGTGGTGAATCTGCCGGATGTCGATACTTTCCATCAATAATTCTTTCATCTGCATGCCAAGAAAGGTGTCTTGCGTCAGTTTCACTATGAAACATTCGCCTAAATCTCGGAATTATAGGAAAATACCATAATACTTTTGCTGGAGACAATTTTTTCTTATATCGAGACAAACCGCATTTAGGGCACTCATTTAACGAAGCATATTCATTTCTAAACAAAATGCAATCATTTGGACAAGCATGTATCTTATCATAACTCATGCCAATAGAGCACAACATTGTTTTGGCCTCATAGGCTCGATTAGGAAGAACATTATCCTCCGGAAGCATATCTCTCATAAGGGCTAATAAATTTGTGAAACTTTTATCTGACCATCAATTGCCCGCCTTTAAGTTGTACAACTTTAATACCGTAGACAGTCTTGTGAATTTAGTGCACCCTTTATACAACGGTTTCTCTGCATCGCTTACCAATCTCTTAAACATTTTGGGACAATCCTGAAGATCTTCTTCAAGTGCATCTGCAATCTCTTCGTCTCGATCAAAATTGTATATATCTGTGTCCTTATCGTCTGAAGCATATGCCGTACTACTTTTCTCCCCCGGTTCAACGTTGTCTTTACTTTTTCCACCGTGAAATATCCAACACGTATAACTTCTATCAATTCCACGCATTAGTAAATGCGATTTCAATCCATCTGCATTAACCCGACCCACATAACAACAACCCAAGCAAGGACACTTCATTCGATTGGGGTCTTTGGCGTGTTCAACAGCAAACTTAACGAATTCCAATACCCCATTCTCGTACTCTTGTGACAATCGATCGGCAAACATCCATTTTTATCCATTTTTTTCTACTTATTCAAGTAAAAAAAAATACTATAAACGGATTATTCTCTTTTTGTTTGAATTAAACGAATTATTTCTAGAAATTTATTTCTAGAGTTAATAACATGGACTAAAAATAAATATATCTATATAAAAATAATTGTGTTTTTTAATTGATCGATACAGATAGAATTTGAACTTGACTTACCAAAGAAAGAAAAGGGGCTATTGGTGTCGACGGCGGATGATGCGGCTTTGATGTTCTTCGAATTGGTGATGGTCTTCACCTAACTACACCAATATAAAAGGATCATAAAAAACAAGTTGTATATATATTTAGGTTCAAAATACTAGTAACAAAATACTAGTTTATGGAAAATATAAACATGATAAACAATTCAGAAACCAATTAAAATAACAAAAAAACCCATCATATATATCATCTTTTATATTCCAAAATATAGAACCAAGAATCCAAAAAATACTAAAAATGCTAAATGCTAAAAATGTTACTGTTATATATCAAGCCCTACCAAGAATCTAAAAATTAAAATGCATACATATAACCCAGTTTAGACATCAATAGGAGATAAACACATTTGGACATCAATGGATATTAACACATTTTCAAGGATGATAACTCAGTTTGGACATCAATGGAGTTAAACACATTTTCAATAAAGAACATACCTTGAGAACCGACCGGTGTGGGTGGAGGAAAACGGAGCGAGACGGTGGAGGACGGTACGATGGCGAACGGTGGAGGACGATTTGAGACGGAGAAGGAAATGGGTTTCGCGAGGGAAAGGGTTTCTGTTTTCGTGATACTGTGAATACAAATGTTCTATTGTTTTAATTATGACTTATAAGGGTTTAGACAGCGCTTTCTAAAAGCGCTGGCTAATATGGACCTTAGACAGCGCTTTTGAAAAGCGCTGGCTAATAGTGACCTTTAGCAGTGCTTCTCTATTATTATTTTTTTATTTTTTATGACTTTAGACAGCGCTGTCTAAAGTGGCCCTTTACCAGCGCTTATGATAAAGTGTTTTCTAAAGCAATCCTTTAGCAGCGCTTTTTAAAAGCGCTGTCTAAGGTCATATATTTAGCAGCGCTTTTACTAATTATTTTATATGTTTTCCGTGTTTTTTTAAGTCACTTATAGCAGCGCTTTTGTACAAAAGTGCTGTCTAATGTGCCCTGTTAAAACTCACTTTTAGCGTAGTGAATGGAATCCTAATTATGTATTGTATGAGTATGCTTGCCTAATGAAATAACCAGTAAGTGAGAAATCTATCCTTTAAAAGAGAATAGTTAAGGGAAGACTTAGAACACCATGATTGTGTGTTTGAGCTTACCTGAAGATTATTACTTGATAATAGAACATACCTTAGGCTCGACGATGTGGACTCTTGGGAAGTGTGATGAAACTTCGAGTTTGGCAAGTACCGATATCCCTTGATCCCGGAGGGAATCAAGTGGAATGGTTAGATGAATTTCAAGGACCTAGACTTGTCAAAGATGTAACTCTGTAAAGTGTATTACACGCAGTGGATGTCTGGCATTCCATCGACCATATTTGGTAGGCAGTGTGTTCTACATAGTGGAGTTCTGGTATGCCATTGACCATATTTGGTGAAAAGGACTTCAGCGCATTCCCCATGGTAGAGGTCTGGCATTCCATCGACCATATTTGGTAGGCAGTGTGTTCTATGCAATGGAGGTCTATTATTCGATTGACCATATATAGTAGATAGTGCAATCCATACAGTGGAGGTTCAAAATCCATTGACCATATGTAGTAGATAGTGTACTCGATGCAGTGGAGGTCTGATACTCCATTGACCATATTTGATGGAGAATGTAACCCATATAGTAGAGGTATAATATTCCATCGTCCATATTTGGAAGATAGATTATATATCCCTGTAATTTGCTTTGGAGCTAATTACCCTTGAGTTACATGATGAATGTAGCCATGAACATGCCATTCATATATTACGAGAAGCTAGAAGAGTTTCGTTGTTCTCGTTGCGTATCTGATATGTGAGTGCGGGAATAATAGCTTAATAATGTTAATAGAACCCTGTAAAGTCGAGTAGACCCATAAGATAAGAAACTCCACGGAGATTTAATAATCTCACCATAATATTGTTTTTTTTAGGTAAGTTGTAGAAGATAGAGATTGTAGCGGTGAAAATCGGAGATCAAGCTATTAATTAACTTGACTCACAAAAAGAAAGAGTCGCCACCGCACTTTATTATTTCCAAGGGAAAAGGGAAAAGAGCGAAATAAAACCCTAAAGTATGCAATGTAAATTAATATTTAAAAGTAATGAAAATACAATGCGTTTTTAAAAGAGATCGAGAGTTCGGGGGTTAGTTATATAATGGGAAGGTACTAGCACCCAATGCATCTGCGGTACTCCGCAGGAACCTTTTGAAATATATGTTTTTTTTTTGTTTAAAATTGTTTGTTTGATTAAAATGATTCGTTTGGCTAAAAGATGGGTATGGACGAGATTTTTGGAGATACGACGACCTAGTATCGAAGTTTTGACTTAAAAGGTGTGAGTTTGAAATTTGAATCTTTTAGGAAAATCGACTTAATTTTGAAAAAAAACAGTAAATAGAAAAAAAAATGAATGAGGGTATTCGCTTGATCGCATTAGATATTTGATGACATGAAGTCAAGAAAGTTAAAATATTTTCCTTGGAATAAGCAACATAAAATGAACATCAAAATATAAACATTCAGAAGTTCACAAGAAAATAAATCTGACAAAAAACAAATTAATGATCAAGAGGCACCGAGAAATTGAAATGACAGAAATATACAAATAAAAAGGAATATAACTAATTATCTAAAGAAGTTATTCGAACTAAATTAAAAATTACTTACTAAAATAATTCTAAACTGATTACAAATTCTAAGGTTATAAAAAAAATCTAGTATTATTGAATTTGATCTAAACTAAACTAAAGTTTTAAAATTTAGTAAGTTAAATCTAGATTAAATTAAAATCCTAAGGTTACTAAATTAAATCTAAAACAAATGAAAATTCCAAAGTTACTACACTAAATCTAAATCAAATAAAATTCTAAAAACTACTAAACTAAATTTAAATCAAATAAAAACTCTAAAGTTATTAAACTAAATCTAAATCAAATAAAAACTCTAAAGTTATTGAACTAAATCTAAATCAAATAAAATTCTAAAAGAATATTAAACTAATTCTAAACAACTAAAATTCTAAACTTATTAAACTAATTCTAAATCGAATAAAGTTCTAAAGTCCCTAAACTAAAACTAACAACTAAAATTCTAAAGTTAACTTAAATAAAATCAAATAAAATTCTAAAGTTTACTAAATTAAAACTAAAACAAAATAAAATTCTAAAGTTTACTAAGTCAAAAACTAAAACAAATAAAACTCTAAAATTTACTAAGTCAAATCTAAATGAAATAAAATCCTAAAGTTACTAAAATAAAACTAAAATAAAATTCTAAAGTTTACTAAGTCAAAACTAAAACAAATAAAACTCTAAAATTTACTAAGTCAAAACTAAATGAAATAAAATCCTAAAGTTACTAAAATAATACTACAACACATAAAATTCTAAAGTTATTAATTATGATTCTAAATATTTTAAAGTTATAAAATACATCTAAACTAATTAGAAAATTCTAAATTAATACTAAACTGAATCTAAATATAAGATTTACTAATTTTTTTTTTATATTTTTTTTAACAAAAAAAATAAAATAAATAATGTTATAAATCAAATAGCTATCCGTAAGAAAGAGACTACAAAACAGTATCTTTATCTCTTCCTTCTCACCTTTTCTTGTTCATCTCTCTCTCCATTCAACAAAACACTACCCCAAAATACCCAAACTCAAATGGATAATAAAGCTGCTTAATCATGAAAAGACAATTATAAGCCATGGAACTCTAACCTTATGGGAATAATCGAAGCTATTAATTCTCGCAGCGACGATGGTGTTGCATTCTAGATCAGGAGATATGCGGTTGTTTATCGGAGTTTTGACTGGAGGGTGCCGACGGTTCCGTCGAGATTGAATCAGGCAAGCGGAAGGAAGACGCAGTAGTGTTATCGGAGCAGATCGTGGTTGCGGATCCGTGACTTGCGGCTGTTGACACAGGTGGTGCTCGATTCCGGTGAGAATAAGGAAGCAGGAAGGTTTTGGGTCGACGACAGATTTCGCGAAGGGTCAAATGCGGTGACAATGGTGCCGCAACGAAAGTGTGAGCAGGTGAGCAGCAGAAGGAGTTGGGTTGGAGTTCTACGATTTTGCAATTTCGGTCTTCTTATTTTTCTGTTCAATCTCGATTGATTCTTTGCATCCACAGTTTCCGCTTGTTGCCGGATCTGATTAATTGATGTTACTTTTCTTGTGTTCTTTTCTCCTGCAAAAACAACTTCTACACAAATATGAGACATTTGTCAATATTGTTGGATTTGAAGTTGTTTTCATGGTTTGTGATTGATATTGTTTTTGTTCACAGTGAGGTGAGGTTAATGTTTGGTTAGTTTTGAAACATGGTTATGTTACCGTAAAGAAAAATAATTCATGAGTGGAAAATTGGATGAATGAGAATGGTGTATTGTTGTATCATGGTTTGAAAAGATTTTCACAAGTTTGGATTTTGGTATGAATTGTTAATGGTAAGTTAGATGAGTGGTGGAAGTTGGGATAAAGGAGGAACGGACTACTGTTAGCAGTGGAGGTTAGGTGGTGCGGTGAAGGTTGGGTTTAACAGTGGCGAGATGAAGGGTTATATTGATGAAGAAGGGTTGCGTTACGGTGATGGAAGGTAAACATTAATTGAAGGTTGTTGTTGTGATGTGAGGAAGCGAATAGGAGAAGAAAAGGGAATTAGGTGGGTTTGTGAGGTGGTATGGGCGTGAGGAGAGAAAAGGGTGGAGAGAGATAATTGAAGATTGGATTTTTGGCCCTTGGGTTAGGAAGAGAGATTACTGTATTGATTTTTTTTCTTTTTTTCTCCCCCTGTACAAAGTGATAAAGATGCTACTTAAATAAGAAAATAAAGAGGAATATTGTTTTCAGGTTTAATCCAATCCGTCCAAAATTATTAAATCTGCATCTATCCGCTATTTTTGCTAACAGCCAATAAGAATCAAGCACAGTGTAAATAATATTTTTTGTGACCAAATAACCCTTAAATGATAAAAATAACCAAAAAGACTAAGAATATTAAAATTAACTCCATTTAGAATAATTTTTTTTGAATCTTTTCTGAATAAAAAAATAAAGACCCAAAATGACTAAAAACAATAAAAAACGGAAGAAAATTTATCCGAAAAATTAATATGAACACATTAAAATAAACTACATGTAAAAAAGATTAAAGAAAAAATATTTAAAAGTCAAAGTCAAAATAAAATGATAATAAAAATATCAGGCTAAACAGACGTTTAGGGTTAAAAACGAGACTTCGAACTGTACCGAAAAAATAAAGCGAGCATACCGTCGTAATCTACGCGAAACGCAGATTCATAAAATGATCGGTAAAAGGTGAAAACTTGAAATATTTTCTCGCTAATTTCCCGCATAGTGTCGAATCGCTTTTAACAGTCTGTCTATAAAATAAAAATATTTTTATTATCGACATATAAACAACTTGGAGCAATGCAACAAATGAGTAAATAGATAAAAATGCATGAAGCAAAATGCCGGGTATTTTACAACTGAAAGACGATGCAAACTCTGACTTTTTCTGGTCAACTTAAATACGACTAATGATGCAAAATATGATGAATGAAGATATTTACTAATGATTGTGACCAAATGACAAAATATGGTATGAAAGTGCGACTAAAACATATTAGGGGCGAAATTAAGGGTGCAACGGTGTGCCTTGATGAATCAGTCTTCGAGAATCCACAATCAACCGTACTTCTGGCTTGGGAGACTCAAAACCTTAATTGAGGCGCGACACCTGATGCTCTTGATTCAGACCTGTCTATGCACATGAAACAAAAGGAAACATGAACATACACCTTCGTATGCGATTAGAAATTAGTGATACATAGGCTCAAAATATTCAAAACACTTGACAATCTTCGCATAGTCAAAGCTCGAAGGTGAGACGTTAAAACCGACTGTATTTCGTGACCTTGACTTATCTTAAAAAAAATGCAAAAATAAAAATGGGATCTTAGGTCAAAAATTGGGGTACAACAGTTGCCCCTATTTAAGTTTCTTCTATCTGGAGATATGAAGATTGGGATCTTCATTTCGACGAGATTGAAGGGACTTAAATATAGAATACACAATTTTTGGCCTTGAGATACTGCGATTATGTTTACGATATGATATGAATGTGATGTTTTGAATTTTATGGGGAATGACGCCATAAGACAAACTATGATGGAGAAACCAAGCATATTATAGTAATCCTACAGGGGAACAGATTATAACACCACTGGGGAAACAAAGTCATAGACTTCAAATGAGAGACTCTTGAATGATTTACATCAGTATTGAGACTGGAAAAGGTAATGATTTACATCAGTACCGTAACTGGAAAAGCATATGATTGACATCAGTACTGTGACTGGAAAACAAAATGATTGACATCAGCACTGTGGCTGGAAAACAAAATGATTGATATCAACACTGTGGCTGGAAAACAAAATGATCGACACCAGCACTGTGGCTGGAGATAAACATCTCTGATTTTTGAATTTTACCAAGAACGGTAACACATTTCTTCTTTAACCAAGATATCGCTTGAAAAGGATAAAATAACAAATTTCCCCACGGGACTTTTCCGAAAGGGATGCCATTTGCTGAGTAGACATTATTGTTGGGGATACACAAGCTGCTCAAATAAAGGAGCTTCCACTTATTGTCTTCAAAAAAAGTGCTATGACATACAAGCTGCTTAAATAAAGAAGATGCCACTTGCTGTCTTCAAAGAATATTAAAGCACACAAGCTGCTCATGAAGAGTCGGCCACTTGTTTCCAAAAACCCACAAGCTGCTCATAAAGAAGCTGCCACTGGCCGTCTTCAAAGAATATTAAAGCACACAAGCTACTCATGAAGAGTCCGCCACTTGTTGCCAAAAACCCATAAGCTGCTCATAAAGAAGCTGCCACTTTCCGTTTTCAAGGGATATTAAAGCACACAAGCTGCTCATGAAGAGTCCGCCACTTGTTGCAAAAAACCCAGAAGCTGCTCATAAAGGAGCTGCCACTTGTCGTTTTCAAGGGAACAATAACACACAAGTTGCTCAAATAGATAAGATGCCACTTGCTGTCTTCCAAAAATACTAATGTACAAGCTGCTCATGAAGAAGCTGCCACTTGCCATTTTCCGTACAAGCTGCTCATGAAGAGACCGCCACTTGCCGTTTTCAAAAAGTGTTGATAACATACAAGTTGTCCATGAAGAGACTGCCGCTTGCCGTTTTTAAAAGTGTTGATAACATACAAGTTGTCCATGAAGAGACTGCCGCTTGCTGTTTTTAAAAGTGTTGATAACATACAAGTTGTCCATGAAGTGACTGCCGCTTGCTGTTTTTAAAAGTGTTGATAACATACAAGTTGTCCATGAAGTGACTGCCGCTTGCTGTTTTTAAAAGATACCCATAAAATATCATGAAGATATTGCTGGAGGTGAGAATCAATAATTTCATCGAGGATGGACAAACTGCTCATGAAGAGACCGCCATTTATCGTAGAGAAATCAGAAATAATCAAACTGCTCAAATAAAGAGTCAGTCGCTTGTTGTCATGTCGATATTCCAGAAGAAGGTTGTGATATCACTGCTGGGGAATAAAGTTCATCTTCAATGGGGAACCATGAATAAATCCTTCTTGAGGAGACCAAGTATTTACGTTGCAAAATAAATGCACTCTCTATCTAGGTTTCACAGCCTAGAGAGATCCACAGGGTATCGTTCACAAGAGACAAAGCTCAATCCAGGAATAAACTGGAGAGAAAATAGTCAAACAAGACTCCACCCAATGAGGAAACAACTCAAATGGGGATTTATCCTATCCAGAGATGGAAAAGGAAAGCTAAAGCAAGATTCTTCCACGAGAGTTAACTCAGTGGGGAATTAGAAAAGAGGCGCACTTTCTGCTTAAGTTGACACTCTATTTGGAAAGATCAAATACGCTATTTGAATAGACATAACCAAGGTATACGTACTCAAAGACATCAACAAATACAACTGTGCATGCATGATGCAAGTGTGAATGAATAAATGAATGTCATGTATATGCTGACAAAACAGACAGGGGAGATAGATAGAAAATGATAAGACATCACAGTACAACTCGACACTCGGCTAATCTCAATAGGATGGTAACATTACTGGAGATAGAAAACAAAAGCCATCATTGGAGCAAAGTCCTTTTACAAGGCTTAAATCTCTTTGGAGAGGAAGATATTTTCAGGTAGAAAACCCAAAGTCCAGTCTTCTATTGCAAACAATCCATTGAAAGGATAACAACACGAACAAAGTTTCAGCTGGAAAGAAGTCTTGCTTAGCTGGAGATACTGGGAACACCACCCTCTGATAATGTATGAAAAACATATCTTGACAAATCTGGATTGCCCCTGGGATTAATTTTGGATGCCCCAAGTTTACTGCTGATAAGCTGCGTGATGCACGACAATTCTTGCGAATAACTTTACCTCTAAAATGCCCTGAGCTATATGGTTGATGAGGAGAAATCGGCTCAAGAGGATTTTACAAAAGACCTGGCATTCACCATGCTCTGGTGTCTTCAAAATCTTAGAGAGATTCATCAAATCTACGTGATTTCCCCGGATTTACTGTAGTCGGCACAACAAAGACTTCGAATTTTTGCCCCAAACGAGCAAACAAGTTGGGAAAAGCATTAACTGGGAGAAGCAACATGTTCGTGCTTACGGTCTTCAGGTGACATGCCCATGGATATGATTTTTTCTTGACGTGATCCGCCAATTACTCAACATAGTTTCAGGCCTTAAAAGAATAAACTCATCACTGGTGCTTATGTGAACTTCCTTGATATCAAACAAATGTTTTGCAGTTAGAAAAAGTTTACAATGAGAATGAAAATTCTAATGCAACAGTTATGTAAGTCTTGAAGATTTTGAAAAGATATCGCACAAATTTTGCGAGTTAAAGCACCATTTATTTTTGTATAGGAAAAACATATGATACCAACATAACTATTTAGAACATTCATGGGAGTCAGGAACACTATCTCATTGAAGTATGCTTTCAAAATAATCTTTCTTCAATTAGGACTTTTGAAGGTTGTAGCGTGGTCTGGTTCATGGTTTTTTTTGAAAAAAGATTTTAAGGCTCAAAATATTTGGTGCCCACCCATTCTTCATGATGTTCTCCAACCCTATGTTCAGTTAATTCAACATGAGTGTTCATCTCTCAAAAGGATTTTGTGACGGTCAAGGAAACG